TAAATGTTCAAACCTAAGTCTGTGTATTTCCATAAGCAATACTTAGAAAACCCAAAAAAACCCTAAGTGTTGTAACTAAAATCAAGAGAGGTATGAAGTGTCTCATACCCAATTTTTGGTCAGTGACACTTCTAGATTTCTGTCCATAGAACTGCTCAAAGTGGTCATAATGACAAGAATTGAGAAGTGTTCTTTCAGTTGATGTGTTTGAAAGGTAGCTTTGTATGAACAGCTGTGTTTTCAAAATGCTTGCCACCTCTAAATTGGTCCTTGTGAAGTGAACTGTTTGCCTTATTGCCAGCAGGGCACATTGCGCTGTAGCTGCTGCATTTTTAGGTTTTATCACTGTCTCTCTAACTGCTGAAGTGGAAAAGAATGATTGCCAAAACCTGACGTGTTTCTTTTCCTTTCTGCCCACTCTGACTTGGTTCTTAGCTGTCTGTTGCTCCAGTGATGAGAAACGTTGCTCAGTTTATTCATTCACTGAATGTCTTTTCCAGCTCAAATAATGGTGATACCCTCTTGTAAACCAAGGCTCCAGCTGTCAATAGCAGTAAATGAAAGAAACCTAATTAAGGCATACCAATTATTGTTTACACAAGAGATAATTAGGCTGCAAGAAGTCACACATATAAGGGTGCATTTTTCTAAAAGAAAAAGATAATAACCTAAAAGCAAGAGACACGCCACGTTTAGTAAGACAGTAAGTATAGATGGCAACAGGAGTGGACTTCCAGAGAAAAATAAATAATTTGTCTACAATGATTTAAACAGTTTCAGTACAGAAGTTCTATAGAAGTACATTAAAGGAATAATAAAAATACTTAATATAAGTACAAATAAACAATACTAATGTATTAGATATAGACTCTATTTAGTCTTTTTAATTGCAGACAATAGGAAGCAAACCATACCATTTCATCTGGATGAGGAAATACCTGTACAATCAGAATGCACATAAAGATTTACAAATGCAGCTAGGTAAAGAATTACATCAGACTCCAAAACTATGATGCATAGCTCTTGCTGCTGCTTGTGTGGAAACATTTATCCCACATTTCAGCTTACTGATGATCATCTGCTGTTGAGCCTTATCTCTGCTGGCTTTTCTAGCACAGTTGTAGGTACAAGTTTTAAGAATCACTTTCATTACATCAAAAATCTCGAGAGGTCAGCAAAATCCACTACTAAGAGTTAATGCTGACATAATTGCATTATTTAAAAGAATTTTTTTGTTTTCAAAAGGAAATATCTACCTTTGCACAGTAACCTTCATGTATGTAAAGCTCTGTTCCTTTAAATACTACTCAAAGGAGCATGATAAAGAACCTTCAGGTCCTCTCTGTCCTTATTAGTACCTTTAAAACTGGCCATTCAAAATACAAAACTTTCACATATAACTCTAGATGGTACAAAGCACTCAGCTTTAAAGCACCAGAAACCATTAGTGAAAATTCCGACACGAAGTGCTAATGAGAGCATTATCAGTACATATTTACTATTATGAGTAAATTAATGTAGAAAAAGAATCAATGCATTCCAAAAGTTCCAAGTAACACAAAGTTAAATGCTTATTTTTTCAGTGCAAACATTTATCTCTGTGACACTACATTCTTCAAGGAAACTGAACTGAGGATACCATTTATGATGTTGACCTCAATTTACATGAGGTTTATTTTGTTACAGTGAATGACAGATCACTTCTCCTTTTAAAATGATTTGAACACATCTCAGTGTTGGAAATTAGTTGCATACAGTCAGATACACTCATATAATCAATACAACCAGTTAAGCAGTCATACTGCTTAATTTGATTCTTGGCTTGGATTGCTTCAAGTGGGACTAGAAAACTTATATCAGCAATCAATGTTTTCTTACATTCTTAGTCAAAATTGTATATTGGAGTCACACTATAATACTATTCTAAACAAAAGGGTGAACAAAAATGCTTTGTCACTCAAAGTGCTATATACAATTTCTGCTGTTCATTTCACTACTTCACTTTTTTATGTACTGGGTCATACTAAGTGTACTACAGTCATATAATTTAGATTTAGGTTGTCCTGCCAGGAGCAGGGAGTAGGACTCAGTGATTCTTATGGGCCCCTTCTAACATGAAATATTCTATTCTATGATGCTATGACTCATAAGCCACCACGGATGTCCATTCTACTCCAGAATCATTCTTTTATTCCATATCCTGAATGACAGTTAACACCAAATAATTTTCATGTAAAACAAAACACAGATATGCCACTATTTAAATAAAAAAATCTTTCTGAAGTGAAACAATGTATTTTGGAATGATGGCTGCGGGCTGGAAGAGAGTATCAAAATTATTCTACAATCTGTTATTCAAGCCACTCAACCCCAGTGAATATTTTACACAAGTCAGAAGCACTTTAACTGAAGAAATAAGAAAGATTTATGCTAGAACACCATATAAGCTTGAGCTGGTGACTTATTAGCTAAAGCACTCACCAGAAAGAGGAAAGACATCAGATTAAATCATAACGAAGCAGAATTTCAACCTGGATCTCTCAGCTCTTCTTTTTTGCTGCCTTTTGCAGAAAGCCTATCTAATATATATGACAAGGAAATATCCACCGGTGCCCTTACTTTTGGCTTGAGAATCCCATAGAAAACAAAAGATAAAATAAGGAGTATAAACGCAAATCCAGGAGTATGTTGCCTCATATGTATGCAAAAATGTAGTTTATGCGCTTCAAACGGTACAGCCTCTCAGGTGCCTGGGACACACATGAAAAGTTCATCTTGGTCCACGCTCTATGTTTCACAGTGGCCAACAGAAAATTTCCAGGGAGGAACAGAAAACACGGTCAGCTACATAGTTAGACTTCCCCAGAATACTTTCTCATGTACCTCTACCTAGCAGGAGTCCCTGAGCATCATAGTGGGATCAAAAGGCTGAGACATCTGCAGTAGCAGTCCATTGAATTTCGACTAATTGACAATTGAGGTAATATTTCCAATGACCTTTCAATCAGTTGAAACTTATTTTTGTATTTGTCATGCTTACAGAAACGTTTTTAATGTACAGTCCAAATAAAAATACAAAAATCAAGGAGAAATATGCTTTAGAGAGTGCATTAAGAACGTGACTTAAAACGTTCTCCACCCATGGCCATCCTCTTTTCTCTCAATATATCAAATTACATCCATACATTTGGAATAGAATGATTTCTCCTGAGATCTTTAGTAAATATGACAGTACTCCACACAGGTGTATCACCTTGCCTCCTCCTGGCAAAATTAAAAGCAAAATACAGGCATTAACTATTAAACACAAATCTTTATTTTTCTGCAAGCCTCAAGTTCATCTCATTTCCCAGAACAAAGGAACAGATTATACTCTCACTATTTCAGTCAGTACGTCTTTGCATTTCAGTATAAACTGGGTCATGTGCATAAAAACATGCTATTGATCCTCAAAACAGCAGAATGTTTTCTGTATGTTTATCTCACACATTGTCTGTTCACTCTATTAATAAACTTACCCATTAAAATAAAACGCTAAATGTCCTTAAATGTACATAGCACAAACAGCAGCCTCAAAACCTTGCCAAATGTATTCCAAATTGGCCCAATGCCCTTGTTACTTTACATGGTCCAACACCTTTCCTCTGAGCTGATACAGAATGCATAGGTGGTAGATACACCCAATCCTCCTGGGCCTGGAAAGGAAACCTAAAATCTGAATGCTTGACAATTAACTTTTGTGATTCTGTCCATCTATACCAGCAACACCTCAAAAGTTATTTATCAATGTCAATGAAGCATTGATCTTATCTTACGGTTTGTAAACCATGTCACTGTGAATTTTAACACTAGACGCAAGGGGAGAAAGGACATAAATATGTATCAGACAACAGCCTTCAGGAACAAAGTCTGGGTAAAGTTACATGTAAAGTCTATATTCTGAAGTAAATAAAGCACTTAATTGTACTACTTTATATATGAAAAAACAGAAGCTTTGGTACTACGTGCATTGGAACAAAATGTACTCTCAAAGTTGGATTTATTTTACTCCACAAAATGCAAGTACATACAAAAAAATCTGGGGAGCACACATTTGATGCCTCAGGATGCTTACAGTTTCAGTCTTTACTATAATGTGGGGCATGAACACAATCTGCAGATTTCACGTTTTTGCAGAGCTACAGACCAAAGAAGCAATTGTTTGTGTAGATTTTTTTCCCTTATCACTCTTAAGACACTTTTCTGTTATTATGCTTTGCAATTGAGATTATTGAAGCCAGAATAAGACAGCAGTGATTAGTCTGAATTTGCCAAGATGACAAGCTATTTATTATAAGGTACATATTTCTTTCTAATTAGTACTTTAAAAAAAAGAAAAAAAAAGGAAAAGAAGTTTTCTTTCTAAACAGCAGCTATGAAAAGAAATAAAAATTATAAGGCCTGTAGATTATCAATTTTGTATATTTCTGTATAAATATCTCACAGGATTGCCTAAGAATACCATCATTAGGAATGTGTATTAATCCAACTATTCCATTTTATTTTGATTACACATAAATTATGTTCTTTATATTTATAAACCTCATGTTCAAAAGTTAAATATTCATGCTCTGTATGATTTTGCTCAGTGTTAAAACTTTCAAAGCCATAAGAAACCAGTCTGTTTCTAGTGATATTAAAAAAAAAAAAAAAAAGAAAATATTTTAAAAGAGGAAAAAATATGTAGAAAAATCTCACTGATATATTTTGCTTTATACTCTGTGGATCTTCATCTTTCTGTAGAACAATGCTCCACTGCATATATGAGAAGCTAAAGGTCTAAAGATATATTACTATATTAACTTAATTTATACTATCTGGATACCGCTATAATACTCCAGGCACCACAGTCATTTTCTTTTCTTACTTGCAATAATTAACAGTAGAGAGTAAAAGATGGCTAAATTAATTTATAACTTTATAGTGTCTTATACTAATTATTTCCTTTTCTTGTATTTTAGGTCATCCTGTCATTCCAGCAAACACTAATCAATCATGGGATTTGAAGTTAATAGTACTAAATAAATGAATTGCTTAATCTCCTATGACCATCTATACATGCTTCATCTTCACAAAGCTCATCAATTTTATGTCATCAAGGACAGTGACCTTCATTTCCACAAAATGCCTCTTACTACTGGACAACTTGGTTACAAATTTATCACTTAACCTCAGGAAGAAAGACCTTCATGATCATCATTTGATAAATGCAAGTGTGTATTTTATTAATTGACCAAGTCATAGTGAATTCCGAGACCGTAATTGTGGAATACTGAAGGGTCTGTTACTTTTTTTGAATATTTGAGCTAAGATGAAGGACATACAAATCAAAATTAATTTACTTCTTGGTCTAGTTACCACTTCACTACTACAAACGGTAGGAAAAAAAGCAGACTGCCCAGAGTCCTGTGTATGTGAGATCAGACCATGGTTCACTCCCAGGTCTGTGTACATGGAGGCTCCAACAGTGGACTGTAATGATTTAGGCCTTTTTAGTTTTCCAGCAAGACTGCCTGCCGACACACAAGTTCTACTTCTACAAACTAATAATATTGCAAAAATTGAACATTCAGTAGATTTTCCAGTGAATTTAACTGGTTTAGATTTATCTCAGAACAATTTATCTTCAGTGACCAGTCTTAATCTTAGAAAGATACCACAGTTACTTTCAGTGTACCTTGAAGAAAACAAACTTACTGAACTCCCTGAAGAATGTCTCTCTGGACTCAACAATTTACAAGAGCTTTATATTAATCATAATCTGCTTTCTGTGATTGCACCCGGAGCTTTCATAGGCCTCAATAATCTTCTCAGGCTTCATCTCAATTCAAATGGTCTGCAAATGATCAACAGAAAGTGGTTTGAAGCTACTCCTAATCTTGAAATTCTCATGATTGGAGAAAACCCGATTATCAGAATTGAAGACATGAATTTCAAGCCTCTTAGCAATCTGCGCAGCCTAGTTTTAGCAGGTATAAATCTCACTGAAATACCAGATAATGCTTTGGTTGGCCTTGACAACTTAGAAAGCATTTCCTTTTATGACAACAGATTCGTTAGAGTGCCCCACATTGCTCTTCAAAAGGCTACAAATCTTAAATTTCTGGACCTAAATAAGAATCCCATTAACAGAATACGACGAGGAGATTTTAGCAATATGCTGCACCTAAAAGAGTTAGGAATTAATAATATGCCTGAACTGATTTCTATAGATAGCCTTGCTGTTGACAATTTGCCAGATTTAAGAAAAATAGAAGCTACCAATAACCCCAGATTATCATACATTCACCCCAATGCATTCTACAGACTTCCCAAGCTGGAATCGCTCATGCTCAACAGCAATGCGCTGAGTGCCCTGTACCGCAGTACAGTAGAATCCTTGCCTAACCTCAAAGAAGTCAGCATACACAGCAATCCCATTAGATGTGACTGTGTCATCCGCTGGATTAACATGAATAAAACAAACATTCGCTTCATGGAGCCAGAGTCTCTGTATTGTGTAGATCCTCCAGAATTCCAGGGTCAGAATGTGAGACAGATACACTTCCGGGAAATGATGGAAATCTGTCTCCCTCTGATAGCTCCTGAAAGTTTTCCTTCTACTCTGGATTTAAAAGCTGGTAGCCATATTTCCTTACACTGCAGAGCAACAGCAGAACCAGAACCTGAAATCTACTGGATAACACCCTCAGGACACAAACTTTTGCCTAATACTATTTCTGATAAATACTATGTTCATTCCGAAGGAACTTTAGAAATAAGTGATGTAACACAAAGAGAAAGTGGCTTATACACATGTATAGCAACAAATTTAGTTGGGGCAGACCTAAAGTCAGTCATGATTAAAGTGGACGGCTCTTTCCCTCAGGACAGCAATGGATCATTAAATATTAAAATAAAAGACATAAAATCTAATTCTGTTTTGGTTTCATGGAAAGCAAGTTCTAAAATTCTGAAGTCCAGTGTTAGATGGACAGCCTTTCTGAAAGCTGAAGACTCTCAGGCTGCACAGAGTGCTCGAATACCATCTGATATGAAGGTATATAATCTTACACATCTAAATCCTTCAACTGAATACAAAATTTGTATAGATATTCCCACTATCTATTCACAGAGTAAGAAACAATGTGTCAATGTAACCACAAAAGGACTGGACTTGGAAGTGAAAGGCTATGAAAAGAACAACATAATAGGATTCCTTGCCTGCCTTGGTGCCCTTTTGGGAATCATCTCTGTGATATATCTCTACAGCTGCATCTCACAAGATACGAACTATGGCATTGGACACAGCTATCTAAGGAATTATGTGAAGAAACAATCCTTTCAACTCAATGAGCTTTATCCTCCTCTAATCACTCTTTGGGATATGGGCAAAGAAAAAAGCACAGCAATGGAAGTAAAAGCAACTGTAATAGGTGTACCAAACAATATGTCGTAAATATGTCAGTATATCACTCAATTTCTGGAACAAAAAACCCTGACTGCATTTGTGTTGGACAAAAAGGCAACAATAAAAAGTATTTCTCTTAGGAACTAGATGCCTGGACTTTGCTGCTGCCAACAAATGGGAATATATACTGACTATAAGAGAAGAATTTTAACTAACTGGCTTCTAAGGGTATTCTACCAACCAAATACAATTAACTTCATATTCTAGAACTTTCATGGGACTTTTAAGTCTGGAATACAGTGGAAGTAGCCAAGAGCATTTTCTGTTTTTTTTTTTTTTTTTTTAAATTATTATATAAAAGTAGTGGAACTGAGCAATACCTCCTCCTGTGCTGTATTACACACACTAGCCACGAGTTTTTGCAGTGAACAGATATACTAGGATTGACATATGGTGTAATGAAATGGACAAATTCTGTAGAGTAGACACAGTGAGTATGTGAATTTTTTTAATGAGAAAATACATTTTTGATTAAAATCAAAATAGTTTTTGTCTTGTTTGCTTCTTTAAAAAAAAAACAACCCCACCATTCTGGGAGCTCTTCTCTGACAATAAAGTCATCCCAATGCCTGATAAAATATGTCCTTACATATTCTCCTGATAAATGCTAACCTGAGCACATAGGATATTTTCGCTGCTTTTAGGTTGTATGACATGTTTCTAACAGAAACGTAAGTTTAGTCGTAGTTTTATTTTAAGAACATTTTAAAGGTGAAAGGGATATTGGAGATGAGGCCACTTATATATATTTTTATGTGTCTGTGTGAAATAATTCTGTCGTCTTAGCAATATGTGAGCCTGTATGCAGATCTTTATTTAATTATATCTGTATTGCATTATTTTACTCCTATAACGTATTTTATTCCTATAACCTGTGTAGTCTCTTGTAGAACACACAGCAGTGCTTTCCATAGCAGTACTGTAAACCACTTACATAACATCTTTAATATCTACAAAGAAACATCTCCATGATATTAGTCTAACAAATGTCTAAAAAGATTCATTATTTCCCCATGACCAAAGACATTCTCTATGTCAAAATACCCATGGAAGCTACAGGTAGCAGTACGATTCCTAGGTAGCAGTGTATAAAAATGGATAGCTGCTCCTTCTACAGATATCCTACATAAACCTGAGGTCCTTGGAAAGTAATAAATCCATCTTCTAGCTGTAATTGCTTAGTGCATATTTAACTTGCATTATTTCACAAACATATGCCAAAAAAATCTAACAGCAGTTTTTTCAGTAAAGTAGAATTGGTTAAAAAAATGTACAAATAACTTCTTCATAATCTCTTCATTTACCAGAAGGCTGTGGTTTTTTCTACATAAGGCACAGGACTAAAATTTTCATGTATTTCATTAATGGGCATGTTTACTGTGTTTACTGGAGGTAGGAACTGACAACAAGATATACTCAATTTTCTCAGAAACAGAAAAGCATTGTTACACACCTGTGTTTCCATTTATTTAATAGATGTCTCTCAGGAATCCAATGCATTAAAAGCCATACTTACTGGTTATTCACACCAGAAAATAGTAGCTCAGAAAAAGATTAACTTTTCCTTGGTATTTGACAGCAAACCTTATTCTGAAATGTACTACTAATCAGAGAAAACAAAAATAATTATTTAAATATACCTGGCTAGGAAATACCCAAAATACAATACTGAAAAGACATTTTAATTAGTTTATCTTACTTTTTTTTCTGTCAACTACTAGACTGAAAAGTACTGTTCTATTCATAAAAAGATTAAGCATTTACTTCTTGGCAAAATATTTACAAAAATAAATTCCAATATTTCACCAGCTAACACAGCCAAATGCTCACTTGCATATGTACATTTCATTTTCATTTAGCTATAGTGCTGCGAAATCATAGCTCCAAACACTACCTAAAAATATTAGATAAAAGATTGGTGAAAAAAATGTTAATTTATATCCTAAAAGGAAATTTCCATTTCCAAAATTCACTAAAAAAACCTCATTCTGCTTGTGGAACCTGAAACAGTGACCTCAAGATAACTTAAAGGAGAAAAGGAGGTTCTTCCCACAATCTCATGCTGGCCAGGAATAAAAAAGACACAATGATCAACAGTAATCTTTAGGATATTATTTGTTATCTGAAGATAGACATTTCTGAAAAGGGTTCCCATATAGTATAGAAAATAAGTGCAGACACTAGACTGTCCTAGAAGAGCTGAGAGAAAAAAAACGAAAAGCATCACTCTGTCAGACTTAAGAAAGAAAAGCATTCATATTATTGAACTGAATGGAGTGGATGTGTGACACTAGAGGCAAAAAAGAGACTGAAAATTCACCTTATGCTAAAGATGAGAAAACATGCTTGCAAACAAATTAACAATTGGGCACATTTTTTCTAGAAGTAAGAAATAGGATGACTAGAAAGATATCCAGAGTAAAAAAAAATTACTGGTGTTAGCTACTGAAGATCATGAGACTTCATCACAACATAGTTTACAGAGAAACGTCCTGAATCAAATTGTTGAGGAAACGATAGATAGATACATGTGATCATTTAAGAGCATCTTTGAGTTCCATGAGCAGCAGTAAAAACATATTGGAATAAACCACTAGGTAGGAAAAGAAACCACCCACATCTTTCTCAAATATTGTTTGACCTTTCAAATCAACTTTTTTGGTACCTCAGCCTAATAATGTATCAAATGAGTCACTTGAACAGCTTTCAGCTTAATACAACTGGAATTAATTGAAACCAATTTTCTCAGGAAAAGGCCACACAGATACTCAGGGAAAATGCTAAACTGCAATAGAAAAAGGGAGGATTATAAAAACAAGAGAGATTATCTAAACATTCAGTAACCATAAAATCAGTACACAGAGGACAAAAATTAATCTAGATGACAAAGTTTGTGAAGATAAAAGAAAAAAAAACTTCATTTCCACATCTGATAACTATAGAATTTCAATATTAAACAAGAAAATTGTTTACATGGATAAAATAATTACTGAAACTTGGCAAGATTTGCATGATTGGAATGTTAAAATATATAACCATAACTTGTCTAGTGAGAACTATGCTTTGGAACTGAGACTTGAACTATTCACTTTACATCCAATAAACATTCTAAAGGAGTTGAGTCTTCTCCAATGCTTGCATTATAGGGCAGTGTGAAAATAAGGTATCAGACTAGATTCTGTCCATGATTAGCTGTACTTCAGTATTCTGAGACAAAATAGACAAGCATCCTTAGTAAATAGCATACCCATAATGTAGAATTAGTAATGAATAATGAAAACAGACCCTATGGTACATGACTGACTGTGGTTATGTTATTTTTCTGGTTACATTAAGTAATGTTTCATTTGTATAGCCTGGGTGATCAAAAAGAGATAGAAGGTTAAGCCAATTGGATAACATGTTTAAAGGACTTGTTCTTTTGAACACTCAAAAAAACTTTTAAATTAATGTAGTGTACCTTTACCTACTTGACTACAATATTCTCAGAGAGATATAAAGTTGCAGTTATACTGAAGTACCTTCAAAGCTGAATCTTTTATTAAGTCATTCCTTCCTTCAGACAAAGCTGAAAACTACAAATTAAATTCCTCTGGCAGCTAAAAAATGCTTTCTACAAATCTCTCTCACTTGCCTATTTTTCTGTCTCTCAGCTTCAATTATTTTTAGACTCTTTTTCCTAGAGTCCTTTTCTTTGCCTTGATAAAAATGCTCTGTTCCCTTCCATGATCCCTGTGGCTTCTTCAACACATCATTTTCAACGCTGCCAGTAAGGATGGATGTTGTCTGACAATAAAAAAATCAGCAAAGAAACATCATATTTGAAGGCAAAATATTTGAATAGAGAAATAAAAAATATTAAAGAAAGACCTTAAAATGTGATGTCAAGCTGATCAGCTAATGAGATGAAGCATCTCTCAAGGAAACAAAGCAGAAAAATGTAATTACATTCAAATGAAAATAATAATATGGGAGTAAGATAAAGCTGAAAGGGCAGGCAATTTGGGCAGATGGCCTATTCTGGATCCTAAAATAGCTGATGTTCTTTTCAACATTACAGTTTAGATAAGTGGAAAACAACTCCATCTGCCTTACCCTTACGTAGCTATTGTTCGCTATCTGTGTTGATGACAATTTCACACTGTGCTCCAAAGAGCCATAACGTTTCTGAATCACAAAACTACATCACATTCAGTGCTGATGTCTTCATCTATAAACATTTCTTCCAGTCCAGACCTAGATTCTATAAAGAAAACCTTTCAGCATTTATATATTACATTTTACAGGTCAAAGGGCTTACAGTTTTGTCATTTAGCACGTGAGCACAAGTCAGATTCCTTGAGATGGTTGTTGTGAATAACATTTGAGGACAGAATCTTGTCAGAAATTCTTACATTTTTTTGTATTAGGTTTTACTTTGGGCTGTTAACATTTATAATTTCTTCTTGTTTCTGTCTCTAGCATTAACATCAGCTAACCTCAAAAACCTACAGTTGAACCCTTTTTAACACCAAAGAAAGTGGGTTACAGTCTAAAGACTATTATAGACAGATAAAAGACGCTTTGACATGATGGTAGAATGATTTTATAGGCCACAGAACCAGATGATGAAAGTCATCTACTCCTATATATTCTAACATTTAAATGGAATATGTAAGGGCTACCAATAAAGTAAGAATTATCACTTTTAATTAAGTGCAAAATGTTCAGTAACTATGCCAAATAAAAACCAAAAATTTAAAGTTAATCTCACTACAGCAAAGCAAAAACCATCATTAGATTATAGGTAATCAGCTATGTTTTTCTTTACATACCAGGTAATAAAAAGATTAAATTAAATCAAACTGTTAATATCAATTGTAGTCTCTTAGATTAACTTAATCTTCCCTTAACAATTAATATAAAATGAGATCTTAAAGTCTTACATAATTTATTTCATAATTGCTCTGCAGGTATTCATGATAAACGCATGCCCATTTTTAGCAAACTAAGGGCTATATTGAATATTCATGTGTCACACAATGTATTTCAAAATATGAGACAATGCTTTTTCCTAAAATACCTGCTTGCAAAAGTTCAGCTATCAACACCTAAAATATATGACACACATCACTATCTTAATTACATTTCTTCTACAGCTGTATAAGAGGATTTCATTACCCAAGCTAGGATGAAGTGTATCCAGATAAGTTACAGACTTTTAGTTTGACAAATCCAGAATAGGACTGTCCACTGTCACAACACTTGTAAATTTATATTTACATTATCATGTTCAATTCACCTTGTTGCTTTTCAGGCTGTTAAAGTCCAATTAAAAACTATTTTCTTTTCTTCTTTCCAAGAAATTCAGCCTCACTTTCACCCTTTACATTTCTTTCCTTAATTTAGCATTAATCTACTGTTTGCTCTTACACAAGCAGCAGCAGTAGCCACCCTCCTTTTTACCTATTTTCTACTTCAGTAATACTTCATCTTTTTCTAAAGC